GGATGCGGAGTGCTGCTATGGCCCCTGCCAGGGGGCGTCAACTACCTAGGCTTCTCTGAGGCCTCCGCCCAACTGGAGCCCACGGGGAGCTGGTGTCACCCTGCTCCCTGGCCTGCGGGGGATGCCCGGTGGGGCTGGGGGGGGGAGAAAGAATGGGGGTCCCTACACCTGTCCCACAGGTGCCTGCCTTAGGGCCTTGGAGGGGCAGGTGAGGGAGCACCGGGAGGAGGTGAGCAGGCTGAGGAGGATCAGGGAAGCAGAAGATGAAACTGATGGGTATTTCCTTTCACTGCAGGGCCAAGCACCAAAGGAAGAAGAGCCACAGGAGGTGCCCTCCACAGTGGAATGGCAGAAGGTCCCCTCCAGAGCCAGGGCTGCTTGCGGTGGCACAGTACCAGCTTCCCCAGTCCAGCTGGGGAACCAGTATGAGGCCCTGGCGACACTGGAGGAAGAGGAAGGTGAGGAGGTCACTCCACTCACAGAACAGCCTGAAGGAGGCAAGTCGACCCAGAAGAAGAGATGCCGGGTACTTGTGATAGGTGACTACATCCTGAGAGGAACAGAGGGTCCCATCTGTCGCCAGGATTCCATGACACGCGAGGTCTACTGTCTGCCAGAAGCGCGGATTCACAATGTGACAAAGATGATCCCGGCCCTCATCTGGCCCACTGATTACTACCCCATGGTCCTAATCCATGTGGGCACTAATGATGTGGCCAGGAGCAGTCCAGATCACCTGATGAAGAACTACCAGCTTTGGGAGGCAAGCTAAAGGAGACAGGGGCACAGGTTGTCTTCTCATTGATCCTTCCAGTGAGTGGACATGGAAGACACCATGTGACCTACATCTGGGACGCCAACTTGCGGCTTCATGAATGGCGTCTCACAGCGGGCTTTGGCTTTCTGGACCATGACTGGCACTTCAGAAAAAGAGACATGCTCGGGTAGGATGGGCTTCACCTCCCCCCCAAAAGGTAACTGTGTGTACTCTTCCAGGTTGGCTGATCTCCTCTGGCAGGCTTTAAACTAGGCTTGTCAGGAGAGGAAGAGGACCAAGGGAGCCACACCGAACCAGGAGACACCCTCAAGAACAGCCCAGCCAAGACAGGTAACGACCACAAGAAATACCCAGGTAAGAGACAGGGGCCCAGATAGTCCTGGGATTGGGGGGGAGGCGCATACACCCTCAGGCCTTAATTGCCTCTTCACTAATGCTCGTAGTATGGGGAAAAAGCAGGAGGAACTTGCCCTCCTGCTAGCTTGGGACTTGGGGGTCATGATTAACCACAAGATGAATATGAGCCTTCAACGTGACGCTGCGGCTAGTAAAGTGAGCAAAACGCTGGCTTGCATCTATAGATGTTTGTCAAGCAAATCCCAGAACGTCATTCTCCTGTTGTACTCGGCCTTGGTGAGGCCACAGCAGGAGAACTGCATCCAGTTTTGGGCTCCACAATTCAAAAAGGATGTGGAGAAGCTTGAGGGAGTCCAGAGAAGAGCTACACGCATGATCAGAGGTCAGGAAAACAGACCTTCCGATGACAGGCTGAGAGCTATGGGACTCTTCAGCCTGGAAAAGTGCAGGCTCAGGGGCGATCTGATGGCCACCTATAAGTTTATCGGGGTGTACACAATTGTTCACCAGAGCTCCCCAAGCGATGACAAGGTTGAATGGTTATAAACTCCTGCAAGACTGTTTTAGGCTGGACATAAGGAAGAATTTCTTTACTGTCCAAGCCCCCAAGGTCTGGAATAGCCTGCCATCGGAGGTGGTTCAAGCATCTACTCTGAACGCCTTCAAGAAAAAATTGGATATTTATCTTGCTGGGATCCTATGACTCCAGCTGACTTCCTGCCCCTGGGGCAGGGGGCTGGACTCGATGATCTTCCAAAGTCCATTCCAGTCCTAATGTCTGTGAAATCTGTGAAACTATTAAAACTGTTCAGTTATGGAAGGATTTACCCTTAATCCTTTACATATAACATTAATAAAAAATAAGTTAAATGAAAGTGAATGTGTTTATTGATTTTTTTAAGTTATAGATCCTGCCATTTTATTTTTCAAATATACTCCCTTAACTGATTTGTATGCAACATCCTTTTAAAATGAGTGTTTTCTTCTCCACATACTTCATATTTCACTGCAGACTTTTCTCTTTCGTATCCTGTGAAACAATGTCAGGATGATTTATCTTAAATTTCATTCATTTTTCCACACCTTACTAATGGCGCATACATCACTAGTTTTGGAACTCAGGGTCATTAACTAATTCATACTCCCTAAAGTGACTTTACAACAGATGATGAAAAGGTCAAAGGTCCTATATAAATACTGCTTTTTTAAAAAGTTCTCATACAACAGTAATTTAGACCCATACACACATTTATTATGCGCCAAACAGTGGCACCTTCTACCATGCTCTGTTGCAACACAAGCACTATCTTCTGTACCAGAAGCAGCATAGCCACACTCTTAAAGTGCTACAGGTAGGTTAATTAGCCCACAAGCAGCTGATGTATGAACATAGCAATACTGCCATGTGTTCAGTGGGGGATGTGCGCACAGATGGCCAGCATGTTTGAGGGTGCTTCTATCTGACAGTGAACTTGCCAATTGTAGACTTGCCCACTGACTGCTCAGCAGAAAGCTACTACCAATTGGCAGTGGCTGCCAGAAGGTTAAAACTCTACCTCTGACATGAAAGAGTAGACTTCATCTCTGCTGCATGCTGGCCAGAGAAAAGAAAAAGCAGCACAGGTCCAGGCTGCCATTTCAGCATGTCCATGATTCCATCCAGCACAAAAAAAATCAGCTTCCCTGCTTAAGAAATGCCCCAATTTTGGAGAGCTATTTTTGAGAAAGGGTTGTGTGAAGTATGCATGTATATACTGTATAATAAATACGCATCTCTGTGTTGCGAGCCATTTAAGACATAAAAGATTTGGGAAATTATCTCTATAGAGAGCCTTAAATATTTGTATTTCAATGCAAGTAAGAGCAATCTACTTAAAGGCTAGGGACAGAAGTTACACACAAACCAGTATATGTGATAGGAAACCAGTTCAAATCTGTAACACAACAGAAATTTAGTGCACATAAACCACCTTCAAAATGGCCGAAAACAGTTTGAGAAATGTGGATGATCAGGCATCACTGATTTAGGTTAAATTGTTTTCTTGAACTTCTATTGCAGATTTGTTCGATTCAACTTAGCTTACATTCCCCCTGGATGCCAGGATGCTTTGACCTCTCCCAAAAACCCTCCCTCACAGAGTGGGAGGGCTAGCCTTGGCCCAAGCTGTCCGCTCTAGCTGAGCAGGGAGGTGTGCTCTAGGGCCCCGGCTCTCCTCCCAGCTTCTGGCCTGGGCCATTGTAGGTATTTGGTTGCATTTGCAGAATCAAAAGTGCATGTCTGTTTACTTGTTTAAAGGTTTGATCTATGCAGCTTAGACTCACCTGCAAAGTTTGAATCAATTCAACCTTGGACTTTTTGACTGTCTGTACTTAGCAAAAGAGAAGCTTGTTATTCTCTCGCTAAGTTTCTTTATAAATTTTTGCAATCCAGTTGCACTGTATAACTCATCCATTTAGAGAAAGTAGTTCTCACTTTCTAGATTACTTTTAAGAAGCAGTAATCTGTCAGTCTAGCGCAAGCACAGAAGAGGTTTTTTCCCTCAAAAAAACCCCTTAACTGTTAAATTGCCTCATGACATAACTTTCAACATACATGGTAAGGAGAAAACAATTTGAAATCTGTGAAAAATGAATTATTTATCCTCTTTTTATCCTCAGTACAAGTTGCCATGTTAGTGTTGTACCACTGAAATAATCTGTTAAACTGTTATTAGCAATGCAGATATAATTCTAAGGGATTTAAATATATGAAAGTTTGGAAAGTCTGGCAATCGTTACTGAATTCAAGACATCTCCGACCAGTAAGTGCTTCTGAAATAGCATGGAGGATTAAAGCAAACAATTAATATTAAGTTTAAACTTTAAATGGAATGAATTGCCACGTGGGTGATTTAATAGAGTACTTAGCATGCCATTACCATCTCTCAGGCAACTCTAGCAAGATAGTGGTTTCCTGTAGTTCCCATACATGTGTTCCAAGACATTCTGAAGGATCAAACACCACAGGGGCAGACTGGGGGGGTGAGGGGTGCACCCCTCTGATTCCTCCTCTACCCATAGTTTAAAAACAACCGACTGGGAAAGGCAGTGACATTTCTCTTCAGGCAATGATGAGAGATTCAACTGACTTCATGGCTCTCTGTCAACCACCTGACTCCTGCTAGTATCTCGCCACAACACAGTTGTTCATGACCCTTTATTCAAACTATCATTTATTCTGCTGTTACCATCTGTTATCAATCCCTACTAATGTCTCTCTTCTATTTCACAGAACTGCAGACTGTTTTCAGCTCTAACTATAACCTTTAACTCAGGTATGGTAACATTAACTTAGGTGCAGAAGTGACCGAGCGAAGCAGAGAGTGACCAGCAGTATTGAAGGCACTGTCAAGATGTTCAAGGAGTCTAGATTTTACTTTATGCATCTGAATAAGAGAGATACATTTAACTATAATGACTACAGCACTAACAAAACAAAATCTTTTGACTACTTTTGCCTAGTTTTTAACTGTATATATAATCCAGCAAATTAACGTACATTCCAATAGTCATACTTGTTTTGCTTTGATCTTAAACAATACAGCGCGAGCCCCCTCGCATATTATTAAAGAATCTTGTTTCTCTTTAGCTTGACATCAATGTGTGGTGTATTATACGTGATAATGTGCCACAGCATCTGCACCCCTCTTATCAAAATCCTAGAATCATCCATGAAAAACGACATAATACCATGAAATAAATTAAGAAATTACGGCACTAAATATGAGGAAAAGTGAAATTAACAAACGTAATCAGAAAGCATATCCCATACTTTCTATAATATGCCTCTTACTACAGAGAACAATAATGCATCCCAGCTTCTTACCAGATCAATCAGGCTCTCTTGGATCCTGTTCAGTGTGGTTCGCAGTCTGCTACTGCTGAGACCCAGTCCTGTTAATTCAAACTGGAAAAAAAAAGGATGCTAAACAAGTTAGGGAAAAAAAAAGTCTCCCACCTTAGTTTTAGGACTATAAACAAGAAAATGAAAATGTACTACTTGTTCAAGCCTGCTAAATATTACTTACATATAGAAGCTCAGCATATACTCAAAACCAAATCAAAATAAACAGGAAGACAACAAGGATCACTGCATCCAACACCGCACTGATGTAAAGGATGAACTATGTACAGTTCACAAAGATGACTATAAATAATTCATACTAACAAGTAACTATTACTCATTTTAGTCTGGTTAAAATAGCTTATTTGGGCAGAGGCACCTATGAGTTTTTATTTCTACAGACCAGCAAGAGAATGAATACACAAAATAGCATGCATTAATATCCTGGCTGTGAAAGTTAGGTACTCAACACTGCGGACTAATATTAGTCCTTATTAACATTTCTCTTCACCAGGCTACAAACCTTTGATCATCATTTGTTTGATAGCAACTTTTAGTTGGAAAATTATTTTCCATAAGTCTTACAGCATTTGTTATTTAGCCTGGATTATGATCAAGCCAAGAAATGTTTAGTCTTCCTGGTCTGTAAGGGGACCAAAAGTATTACGAGTCAAATACTCAGCAGCCACAAATCATTATAGCTTCATTCACTTTAGTATAATTATACTGCTTTGCTCCAGCTGAGTGTCTGCCCAAGTGTGTTTTGATAAATGTAGCTACTTATTTTCCAATTTTAACTACATAAAACATATACATAAAGCCAAACAAAATGGAAATGGAGGAACGAAGAAACATACATGTTCTTGTCCAGGGTCTGCACACTCAATAAGTACTAGGATATGGTACTGGTATGTGCTTCACACCCAAAAAAGAAGAAGTTTTCTGAACTATATTTAGACACCATGGTCCTTTGGATTGGATTCAGTGTCAAAACTTTCATGACACAGCACTTGGGAGAGAAAAAACGGGCAATTTTCAAGAGGCTTTTACAAATCAAAATACTTTTACACTGAATATAATCACACAGTACTTTTGCTGTATTTTAAAAGAGAACTCATAGATAGCATGTGTGTCTATACCCTTTACTGCTTCTTGATGTGGAAAAATGGCAGCCTCAATTTTCTTTCGGAGTTTTTACTTTAGAAATACCAAGTTTTAGTTTCCTTCACAAACCTTAAAGGAATGATACCACAGAAGACAAACATTGCTCATTTCTATTAAAAGCCTTTTTAACTCTCAACAAACTAGGGAGATAAGGCTTTATTGAAAGCAATAACACCCTTCCCTCCCCTTTCAGTGAGAACTGAGTTCCTATTTCAGTGTTGAGGTTCCTCCAGCAATAGCAACAGTGACATCAAGATTTGGTGCACCTCATATTTCTAAGGTAAAAGCAACAGAAAGAAAATCCCCTTTTATGAAAATGATACTATAAAGATAGGAAAGCCACCCCATACCAGATATTATCTAGTTGTCTGCCTCTTCCTCCCCTTTGTAAATAATAAGATTTATAATTCAGCAAACCCCTATTGATTGTAGATATTGCTTCAGGAAAGAATGACAGCTGGCCAGTTGAAATGGTAGGTATGGCAAATATTTGGATAAAATGCAGGAAAGCAATTTTAAAATGTCTGTGTACAAAAATGGTGACATGTCTTAAACAGCTCCGGTTTAGTTATATTTTTCTTCAAGACGACTGGATGTACACATGGGGAATAACCAGTTGTGAACCAAAAGAGGGAAAGAAATCAGAGATCTACAGTCAGTTTATATGCATTTCAATACTGAACAAAAGATGAGCAGCCATCAAGAATGGAGGCATAGCAACTTCATCCGGCAGAGCATATAATATCAGTATTCAATTATTTTGAATGTTGCTTTCCTGTTTTATGGAAATGTTTACAGAGCATAGGATATCTGATAGGATACATTAGTTCCACAAATGGCTAATGATACAGTAACTCATATGTGACTGAAAGAAGCCAAGGTGCAGAAGAACATCCCTGATCAGCATACACTGTCTCTAAACATGAACTTCTGTTTTTTCCCCAGTTCTCAAAAATAATTTAATAACCAATGCTTAACAAGGTCAACTTTTACTTGGGTTTCATTAGACCAAAGGCAAAAAAAAATCTTGTCCAGAAAAAGCTCCCTGAAGATGACAGGTTTGAGTAAGAACCAAGCTAATGAATTTGACAAAGCATATAGTAATATATATTAATATTAGTACATACATAAAAATATCATATTACCTCACATATATCATGCCCCGGTATATAATATTCAACTTATTTTTTAAAGAAAGAATAAAAAAGAGGGTTGTGTTTTTTTTGGGG